GATAAACGTGTGCAAATGTGGAAGGTGTTAAAGATGACATGGACATGTTGTTTTTTTTTTTTTGCTTCAAAGCCAAATGATTTCTTTAATCAGGGTATTAACAACCTGATTGTAAGATGGAAAGCAACCTCGATAAGAATGGAGACTCATTTCATTTATTAAATGTTTTGTTTTGATATACAAGTTGTTCGGTTTTTTTCATCTAAAAGAAACGACATTAATTTCTTGACGACCTAATATGTCTTCATCTTAAGGTGGGAATCTCGTTGAAAACTTTATTCCATTTTTTCACTTGAGAAAAATTTCAACTTGGATCTGATATGCTTCCTGAGGCGTTTTTTCATCAACATCTGTTGTTGTTGTTTGTTTTTTCGTAAGTAAGAGAGCTAGATGAGAAACGAAACATTTACGTCGTTTTCTTTGTATTGTAGTAATCCTAGCATCTGATTTTTTTTTTTGTAGAGCTGTGTACGAATGGTTTTAATGGAACTATGTATATTTTCTTGTAAAATGGCGAAACATCTCATTCACGATTTCTTCTACAGGTTTCTGCAAATATATACAGTTATTTAAGTTGCAGATCGCATTACTCCAACCTAAGGTTTAGGCCATAATTTGTTTCTTTACAGACATGTTTTTTTTTCTTTTCTTCTAACAATACTCCTTTAAAATTTCGATCGCATTACTGGTTAAATTTTACAGATGCTTGTCTGAAATTTTCTTGTTTTTTTTTTTCTGTCGTAATCATTAGCACGTTTTTTTTTTAAAAAAATCTGCATGACATTGATGAAAATCTCCAAAATACTTTCATATTTCTCTTGCCTCCTTATGGCTTGGTGATGATCTTGAGGGATAATAACTATAAAATTCGGGGTTTGATTCCTACGATGGAAACAGCCCATTGTGCAGCTTCGTATTTAACAACAAACAAAATAATTATTTTCTGTTTGACTTCTCAGACGTGTACTCATTTTAATTGTGTATACGAATGACAGATGACTCAGAGAAATACTGGAAACTTCATAACTGGTTAAAGAATCTCAAAAACAGGTAGTTAAGTTAAAGGGAAATCTAACATAATAATGAGCTACAGTTAGATTTCTTTTCGGGTATCAATTTTGATATGTTCAATTTAACCACGAATTTGGTTCGATTTCATTTCTAATCTGCGTTCTACTAAAATTCAAACCTATGACGTAAAAATCGTATACAGAAAATAGCGCTTAACAACAGTCATAGGGTAACTGTATCTGTTACAAAGTTCAAGCGCGTTTTGATAATGAGAGGCCCCAGACTGGGAGAAATACTACTATAGGTGTGTTTAACCAGAGAGACAAAGTGTTGATACCTATTTTGAAAATAACTTCCAAATGAATAGACCGACAAAACATATAAATCAATCTCTGCATTTACCATAAGGCAAGACTGTATTACTGTCACTCAACTTAGATATAAGTAAGAATCCAGGAGTTACAGTAGAATCAATAATACTATTCATCCTATGTTTGTATTTATAATAAACGTACATAACATCTAATCAAGTAGAGTTTCGGACGACGTTTTGGCTTCTATACCGAAGCAGGAGGAGTCCATTAAAACCGAAACTATTATGGCTGCAATGCTTAAAATACCCTTGAAATAACATCTAATCAAACTTAGTAATAACAACCCTACAGCTATTTTTATTGGGAGACAGAAAGTCAGCAACATGTTATATCACAGTTGACGTGTTGGCATTATGAGATGAAGTGTGTGTTCTTCTGGCTTCACAGCTGTGGTGGACTGTTAACTCTTGGGCTGCCCGATTTAAACCAGGATGACACACATATGAAATTTAATAAGAGAAAAATGACCCTTGACCCCTGTTTCAAGTTCGCCACAAGCTCTTTACGAGTTGAACAAAACAACCAGTGGATGTTGATGAAACAACAATGGAGACGTCTTGAATACAACTTTTAATCGGACGATAACTATTTCATTTAATATATACATATGTATGTTGATTCTGTTCGTGTCTTTGAACAGGTGTTCACTGTATAAAATGCTAAGTGTCAGCGAAACTGGTCAGTTGTGTGAGCAGAGTGTTTTATGTTATCCTGGTAATTGTACTAACATCTGCGGAATAGCAGGGTTGCCTAATCTACCTATTCTTGTTGGTCAACAAGCTCTTACTAAAAATCAGTCAAGATGATAACTTAATTTCAATGAATTAGTCACCCAGATTATGAAAGACTCTTGATATGAGTGACGAGAAGCCGGTAATTAGATCTAAACAATTATTTATTATCATCCACTTCAACAAGTTAAATTTATTGTGATGCATTAAAAAACAAATATCTAACGTCATTTATTATATATATATATTCCTAAACTTGAAACTTGCTCTTTTGGTTTCGTAGTTTAGTTCTTATCTATGCCTGAATTCAACATTAAGGTTCAACTCGCAGGTTAAATAACCCTCCACTCACTTTAAAGATATTTCCCTCTTGCGTGGTCTTCGGAAACTATTTCTGGGCAAATTGCAACAGCGAGTAGCAATATAAAATATTGCGTATAATATATGTTATGAAATCGCATTTAAACAGTTTTAAACGTCATAGGGTCGAATTGTTCGCAAAACAATTTTGCGAATCCACGTGAAAAGTAATATCCCCGTCGCCTTAATAAATATATTTACATATCTATATATCATACAATATTTCAAGCACGTATCTAAACTAATTTGCTGTCACCACAAATTTAAGTAAAACTGATTGGTGTAAGAAATAATTGAATTTTAATCCCCTTTTTTGGGGGTGTTTATTGATTAGCAAGTGAGCTCTGATGAACGTTACACTATGAAAAATATTCTGAACTTCATACCATATTTAAAAAGTTGTTTTCTCAACATACTAAGAGCTTCTTTTTTTTCCTTTAACGTTTTAATGCACACATATGTCCCCCGGTAGGTCAGTGATAGGTTTAAGGACTTAGAATGCTAAAACTCGAGGTTCGATTCACTGTGATGGATTGGTCGCAAATAGTCTATTTTGTAGCTTTCGCTAAAATAAAGCACACAAGAAAAAATCAATCGTTTAACCTGCAGCTCATGTAAAGGTCACCAGAAGTTATGAAAAATTATTAGTTTACATAGAATCATAGAAGTACGATTGTAATTTGATAAATGAGTGTAAGCTCACCCCTAAAAAAAATATTGAATAAAAACTGTTATCCGTTCATTATCTTTAAGTAAAACCTTTGCTTATAATAAGAGAATTAAATTTTAAAATAATCATCAGACACTACATTACTTTCATTACTATTACTTTATATTTCATATTTATAGTTTAAACTAAAAACTATTTTTTTTAATTTCCTGACGCCTCTGAATGCAAATAAAAAGTATCATTACGAGTTTTTTAGATTAGTTATATGTGTTGAACATGTGCATGTAAGTTACTAAATTGTTGTTTAATTAAAACTAAATAAACCGTTCCTAAAAATGTGCTGTAATTATTTCATTATTCCACTTACTTGAAGCGATACCTCTATTATTGAAGAGATCATTTTACTAATTAAATGAACTAACGGACCAACTAAATCATAATTCCCTACAAGTATATATATATATATATATATATGAGTGTCTGTACTTTCAATTACCTGATTTAATCTTTTCTGTAAGATCACCACTGTTGACTTCGGATTTTAAGCTCTCCACCTGGTTTTCGAAACTTTGCATCAATTTAGTAACTTTCTGGAGAACTTCGGTATTCTCATCTCCTTTCAAAAATTCCATTCTTTGTAACTGTTCAGAATACAGTCCTGTATGATAAGTGAAAGAGAAATTTCCTTTATGATTCCTTTGAGTCATTAAAGATACAAACGGATTTGTAGCACAACCTAATCATCTCGTAAATGATAGAAACGTAACAAAGCAATGAGATCTGTTAGATTAACAAATAAATAAAACTGTCTTAATTGCAAGTTGACTTTCTTTAAAATAACTTATTACATAAATGATGCAGCTCTTAAAGCAATTTAATGTTACATTCAGTGCTTGTCAGTATTAATAATATAGAACAAATGGTAATTAAAAACTGAAATACAGTCATTTGAAATTCTTCAAATCCTATAATAATATAGGTTCACTGTTGTGACTAAAGGACAACTAAAACAACAAATATTTAATATTCAATTAACTACTACACGAAACTTGCTTGTTTTCTCGAGTAATCTTGTCCATAGTTTAGTACTAATACCAGTAGAGAACTGTAGCGTAATTTGGTCTCAATGGACCCTGGGGCAAAATGTTTTGCACCACCATTACTAAAACTTTTTCTGTATTTCAGAATATTTTGAGTTCAATACCAATATTCAAAATAACAACTTTAAAGGAGCCTTCAGACAGTTCTTCCACTTTACGTTAAGTGCCACTGACAGGGATAATGAAATTATGACGGGGTGAAATTCCCCAAAACTGGTATCACTCAGCAACAAGTGGTGAATTGAATGAAAGTTTGGGCTTCATATTTATTTTGAATACACATTATAAGAAGTGTTTGATATCACTTACCCGTTACAGACTTATAATCAGCTCCACACTAAGTTTCGAGTTATCAAACACTGAGGCTTAAAGGTTGAGAAATAACTACGTAACATATCATGAAACATATCACAACAATTTCTCTGACGGATAGCCTACGTTTATTGGATGGAACAGTTTCCTGTTTAGAATTTCCGGTAACTTAACTATACCGAGTTTCATATATATTGGTAAACATAAAATAATCCATAACAACTTGTAATTTCTTTCCATTAAAAATATATTTTTTTAGTAAATGGATCTTTTGTATATATTACTCAAATGACTAAATAATGTATTAAGAATCATTCCAACTTCGTTTTACAAATTTACCCCTTCAATACTTTCATTAAAATGTTTATACAAACTATACCAAAATTTCAGTACTCGATAGTGTTGCACCGTTCTGGGAAATGGGCTGACGATTAAGTAATCTGTTACATGTGACGTACTGAATAGAGTACAATAGCGTAAAAAATAATTAACATAATAATATTAAAAGGATGTTTAGAAGGACTTCTTTCAAAAAGTACCACTGTGGCTACTATTATTAATACTACAAAGTTAATACATATGAGTAGCCGCAACTTCCTTTGAAGTAGGTAAATTTTATTCATCGAGGTTTTTCTTTCCGATTGATCAAGTTGTCTCCCACTCCCAGCAGGTTAGCAGTATTAGTTTTTATACTGATTTGCAAGTTACAATCTTGAGTTTGATTCCCACCTGTGGATATTGTGTGGTTTTGTGCTAAACTAAAGGAACGGAATAAACAACAATTGTTGATTAAGTTTAAAATAGTTGAAACGTTATAAATATATATTCGATTCTTCTAAAAATTTGAATACTCTGCTATTTTTTCACTAATACAGTAATAGTAACAATTTCCTAATTAAACTTTCAATTAATTAAAACATTGAAAATGAAATGAAAGTGAAAACAGCTTGGCTGAAGTATATAAAGTGCTTTTTACAGTTACATGAATGAAACTTTGAAGTGAGTGAGTTAGTTAACAATTAAATATATTAATGCTGTAGACTAATGTACTGTAGTAGCACTGCCACTAGCAGTACTTATAAAGTTATACTGTTAGTTTTACTCAGTGTTAGTGTTATAGCATTAACAGATAGCTTAGAATTAGAAATTAAACTTTTCATGCTTATAAAAGTTATATAAATTACATGCTAATACTAATACAGTAATGTTAAATGTAAAATCACTAACCAAGCCAAAAGAGGGCCAGAATCAGCCATAATTGAAACTGTAATTATGAGGAAATAAAGGTAGGGGGGCTCAATTACTTTTTAAATGGGGCATCTTTTTGTAGATAGCCACTGTGCATGAATGTAACTTATAGTTTGAAATCAGCAATGGGTAAAAAGGGAGTGAATGCTCATGTTCACAGAATTGCAAAATAATTGTATATATTATACAAGTTTGTTTTTTACCTTTAAAACATCAGATTTACTTAATATTATTCACCTTTTTTATTTATTGAAAACATAAATAAATTATTGAATTTGAATGAAAAAAATCATCTGTTAAGTATAAAAATGCTTGATTTTTTTATTTCCATGTATGTTATTAGTTTTCTTGTAAGCATCCAATATAAACTTACAGATTTTACTGTGTGTCAATCAGCATTCATTAACCTGTCATCTTTAAATAAACTTGCATATTTACAAATACTTCCAATTAATTAGGACTTTAGAGTGAGGTTTTCTGTTCCATGTTATTTTTTATTTAATTCACAAGTTTTTGTGAAGTTACAATTTTAGCAAATGGTTTCAGGTTACTCCTTTCTACAAGTTAACCTAGCAATCAAGAATATTCAAACTCTTCAAATAAATATGTTAAATCAACTACAAGACAAAAAATATTGTTACAACAGTACTATGAACTTACAGAGCCAGATACATATATATATATTTTTTTTTTTTAAAAAAAAAAAAT